TTCTTCATTTTTTTTTTTTTTTGGGTTTTCAATTTCTTTTCCTAGATTCCTCACCTGGGTTTTGCTTTTCTTTTTGGATTATTATTATTATTATTATTTGTAATTTTTGTTTCACACACCAACATGCATGTTCTTGTGTTTGTCTGATCTGGATTGGATCACGAGGATATCTTTTTCTTTTTTGCTATTTGAAGGAGAGGTCTTTGGTGGGATTCAGTGACATAGGAGGAGAAAGAAGAAGGTAAGATTTCTCAATTCTTTGGATCTTTTGCTTTGGGTCAACTAAGGGAGGTTTTCTGTTTTTATGTTTCTGATAGCTTCAGCTACCTTAATTTTCTGATGTTTGCTTGTCCCATCTGGGTGAAATTCGACTCTTTTTTTTTTTTCCTTTTTCTGAGAATTGTTGCAATGAACTTTCCATTCTGGTGAACAATTATGAACTGGGTCTGTTTTCATTTATTGAATTCATTTCTGTTAGGATTTTGGACGTGTTGAATTGAACAGTGATCATAGATCGTATACTGATGTCGGAATGGAGTTCTAGCAGGGAAGGATCAAATTAGGGCTTACTTGTTCGTGCTGTTTTTGGGTTTATAGCATATATATACTCCTGAGGCATGGCAGGTATTGATATCTCAAAGTATGCCCATAGCCCGGTTCACAAGGCCATTGCCATGAGAGATTATGCCAGTCTCAGGAGGATATTAGCAGGTCTTCCACGGCTTTGTAACCCAACCGAGGTTCGTACTGAAGCAGCCTCATCGGTTGAGGAAGGGAAGGCTGATGCCATCTCTGCTGTGATTGATAGGAGGGATGTCCCAAATCGGGACACTCCGCTTCACTTGGCTGTCAAACTAGGGGATCAAATTGCAACTGAAATGCTTATGGTTGCTGGGTCTGATTGGAGCTTACAAAATGAACAAGGATGGAGTGCACTCCAAGAAGCAATTTGCAATAGAGAAGAAGCAATTGCCATGACTATAGTTCGGCATTACCAGCCATTGGCATGGGCAAAATGGTGTAGAAGGCTGCCTCGCTTGGTAGGAACTATGCAAAGGATGAGGGACTTTTACATGGAAATCACATTCCACTTTGAGAGTTCTGTCATACCTTTCATTTCTAGGATTGCCCCTTCGGATACATATAAAATTTGGAAAAGGGGTGCAAATCTCAGGGCAGATATGACTTTAGCTGGATTTGATGGATTTAGGATTCAGCGTTCAGATCAGAGTGTTCTTTTCCTGGGTGATGGGTCTGAGGATGGGAAGGTTCCCCCTGGAACACTTTGTATGATCTCACATAAGGATAAAGAAGTGATGAATGCTTTGGATGGCGCTGGTTCTCAAGCATCTGAAGAAGAGGTTCGGCAAGAAGTAGTTACAATGTCTCAGACCAATATATTCAGGCCTGGGATAGATGTGACTCAGGCTGTTCTTTTGCCACAATTGACATGGAGGCGACAGGAGAAAACAGAAATGGTTGGCCCTTGGAAGGCTAAGGTGTATGATATGCACAATGTGGTTGTTAGCATCAAATCAAGGAGGGTCCCTGGGGCTATGACAGATGAAGAGTTCTTTTCAAATTGCAATGAAAATGAAACAGAGACTGAAGAGCTTGATGAAATTTTGACAGAAGATGAGAGGAGGCAACTTGAAGTGGCACTTAAATTGGATTCTGCAGAATCCAGTGAAAATGGTGAGGGCATTATTGGGCATCGGCATAGTTGTTATGAGCATAGGGAAATTCCTGTTGAAGATTTAAATGATTGTAGAAATGGAGAGACAAAGCAGGAAAAGAAAGGTTGGTTTGGTGGATGGAGAAAACGGGAGTCTAAGCATGAAGGACATAAGAAGATGGTGCCCCCAAGGAGTTCACTTTGTATAGATGAGAAGGTTAGTGATCTATTGGGGGATTCACCACCTGAAAGCCAGGTGAAACCGGGCAGGCATTCTGTGGAGATTGTGGTGAGAGATGAGCATAGGAGAGGAAGGGATTTGAAAACACATCAAACACCTTCCATGACTTCTGAGAGTGGAAATAGGCGCAAGGATAGTGGCCGTGAGAATGAGTATAAGAAAGGATTAAGGCCTGTTCTCTGGCTTTCACCAAACTTTCCACTACAAACTGAAGAACTCCTGCCACTGCTAGATATTCTTGCAAACAAGGTTAAGGCAATTCGTCGTTTGAGAGAACTGCTCACAACAAAACTTCCAGTGGGAACCTTCCCAGTCAAGGTATGTTCTTTTTGTATCTGTTACAATCTTTATTTTATAATTCTTTATTTGAAAGTTCTGGTGCTTTTATTACTATTATTATTATCAACTTATCATCTTCCTTTACCATTCAAATTATGTTAGTTTTCACTTTGCAGATAATTCTCCTATTTATGATCATAATTCCTCTGCCTTCCCTCACATTACTTTTTCCCTGTCACTCGATTGTTTCTGGGGAGAGATTTCCTTTATGTGGTAACAGGTTTTGGAATCCATGGATGACCATTTTAAAAAGCCCAGCTAATGTTTTGTCTGGTATTTTGGAGGCTTGCACAACGCTAGAACAAGAACTTCAATATATTAGGGCTCTAAAAATGGAGCAGTAGGAGGAAAACAACCTTTTTGGGGATAAAAGTTTAAGAGTATATAAGAGTCCTTATTTATTTATTATTTAAAAATTCAAAGCGGCTTCTTTTCCAATTAAAATGTATTGTTTGTTTTTGAAAAAAAAAAAGGTGAAAAGATAGAGTTTAGTTTCTTTATTACTAAAAAAATGTTTAATTAACTCTTACTAGACATGCAGCACGTGCTTTTTATTGAAACTTACTAAGTTAGGCTAGGTGGAGACCATACTGCATCCTGAACTATTTTAGAACTGTCCATCAGGTTGCCAATAGTCATGTTTGTAGGAATATGTTCTCTCCATTACCAACCAGATGCTTTGGAAGCCACCTTGCTTAGTGCAACAGTTCTAGAATTTTTCCCCAACTCCTGGAAGTTTGCTGGTCCACCTCGATTATTTCCTGATCTGGTGCCTTCATATGTGAAAATATATTTATCTAACAAAAGTAAGACGCTGCTAATGCTTGCAACTTTATTTTAGGTTTCTCTCTGCATTTGTCTACCATGCATTACCCCTTCTTTTCTAAAAGTATTTAGTTACACTTCATTGTTTTAACTAGTTACTAAGAAGTCCTTGCTTTTAGGTTGCTATCCCAGTGGTTCCCACAATCAGAGTATTGGTTACATTTACAAAGTTTGAAGAACTACAGCCAGAAGAAGAGTTTGCAACTCCCCCATCGAGCCCAACTGCAGGCCGAGAGAGCCCTGCAGTGACACATTCCTCAAGTTCATCTTGGTTTCAGTGGATAAAGGCTCCATACTACCGTCCTAGCTCATCCAACGGCAATTCTAGCAACAGGATTGAAAATGTTCAAGATCCATTTGCAATTCCACCAGATTATACTTGGATATCAACTGAAGCAAAGAAAAAGAGGATTCAAGAGAAGAGCAAGTCGAAGAAAGGTAAGAGTCATCATCAAAGAAATCAGGATTGACATGTAAAACAGGTTTTAGCTTGCACGAGGGAATTGGCACACAACAAAAAGGAAAATATTGTTTTCACTCGTCCATTAAATCGTGATACTGTCGATGAAAAAGGAAGTACCTAAGGCAAATGCTCCCGTATTGAAGTGTATGATGATCCCTTTTGTAAAGGGAAAATTCAATATATCATTGTGGGGTGGAAAAAAGGGTAAAAAAAATATTGTGATTCTTACAGCAATTTATTTGGCATTTGGTGGGATATTACATTGTTAGAAAAACGGATGCACTTCCATATTTATGTGCCTCTAACTTCGACTATTTACTGACATAATTGCACTAGTTTTATCTGTCTCAAAGAGTCGAATATTTTGTAATTACTTCGATGATCTTTCTAGGAGCATCTTTCTCTTCTCTGGCCTCTTTATTTTTTTCCAGATCATCTGTGTTGTACCATAAAACAATCTCAGTAATCCGTTATTTAAAAAGAGCAGATGTAATGAAGGACAATAATTTGGCCATTTTGCTCTCCTTTTTGCTTCATTGCAAAACATTAAGAGTACAACATTCACCTGCTAGGTAACGTCAAGGAAATTTGTTGGCGGGGGTGGAGGGAAGAAAGATGGGTTGGTGGAGGGAGTGTGTAATAATGAAATGCAAAACCAAGAGGGGCGCAATATTCATGGTGGTGGCTGCAGCAGCGCTCAAGTGCTGAATTCTCGTTAAGAGTAATCTCAAGAAAACAGCAAAATCATTAATGGCGTAGGACAATGCATACATTGATCCGAGGCTAGGCAACATCCCACAATTTGGATCCCAGGTTTGTCATGTCGTCCAATCCCGTTGGAAAGAAGAAATCATCCAGCTAGGGAGTTTTGTCTGCCTTTCACTGAATTGCACAAACGCAAGAGTTCTTAACTCCCTCAAGCTCTTCATCTTCCGACACACTGTATTCATCAAGAAGCAGAACCAAAAACCATAAACAGGCTGCTTAGAGCTATAAAAAGCGGAAATATTGACTTTATTCAGTGATGATAATATAGTATCCTTTACCTGGGTTCAAACTCCTGAACATTGGCAATATCTTTGCCATGAGCATCAGACCAACTGACTTTCCTCTTTTCTGTTGGCTTTGATGGATTGTCCTCCACCATTAATGATTTTTCTGTTTTCTTGAGATTACTCTTACGAGCATTCAGCACTTGAGCGCTGCTGCAGTCACCCCCATTAATATTGCGCCCGTCTTGGTCTTGCATTTCATTATTACGCACTCCATCCACCAACCCATCTTTCTTCTCTTCACCTCTGTCAACAAATTTCCTTGATGGTACATAGCAAGAGCACACCAAGGCAGTACACCTGTTCTGCGCCGACGCCGCCAGGAGGACAGACAACAAGATTGAAATCCTTTAACTAAGCTCCCTTTTTATTGACACCATAACCAAGCATATATGGAGAGCTATCGGGGTATTTATCTTTCTCCTTCGCATCTCATCAAACAGATTACGTTTGTGAAGAAAAAGATCATCCACCTGCAGAATCAAAGCAAAAGGGAGATGTTTTGTCTCCCAAATAATAAAAGTCTATCGTTTGTACATTAGAGAGATTGAGAGATGTGGTGGGTGGTTTTTTGGAAGATGATGCCATCATTTTGACAGACAGCTGACCCCCACTTGGAATTGTTTTCTCTGGCTTTTGCCTTAGCAATCCATTGGAGAGGTGAACTTGTCCTACTTTTGATTGTTGGTGTGGAAGATGGAAATCCATTGCTTTTGCTTTTTCATGGCACGAGTACCTGCACTAATAATAATGGATTCATGGCAGCAGGATCCATACAACCCACTTTTGTTTGCGTGTGTTCTTTGGAGTGGTGTGGTGGGGGTGGGGGGCTATGTTTGTGAGGGGGTAACAAAAACATAAAGGGGGGAGGAGGGGGTCAAGTTACAACTTTTAAATTGTGATTATAGCAATGAAAAACTGTCAGGGCTTTTCTTCTAGCTTTAGTTTTCTTTTAGCTTGCTTTGGTGCAAAAGACGGGCAAAAGGAAGAAAAAGAAAAAGAAAAAGTTGTCTTCTTAGGCCATGTTTATTTAGCCTCAAGCTAAGCAACTTGGGGATGTTTTGCCCAACAGTTATAACATCTTTTCCTTCGGCAAAATTTAGCCAGAGAAACGCATTTAGTTTTCTTACAGTTGTTAGGTATGATTTAAACCATATTAAAAAATGTTAAGTTTAAACTTTTTTTTTCTTTTTGAATGGATTATATTTGGGATGGAGGGATTCAAATCTTAATTTTTGAGTTAAAAGATATATTTTTAATAAGATATAGAGTTATCGAGTCATGAGATCTAGATATGTAAATTTACATTTTTTTTATATTATTTAAATACAAAT